AAAATGGGAAAGATTTACAGTCGTACAATAGGTTTTGATGAGTTAAGTACTAGTTTCATCTTTTACGAATATCGTTATTACTTTTTACTGGTTCTTGACAGCAAACATAGACTCGAAATTGAAGACAAAGTAGATGAAAATTCGCATATATACAACCATCATGGCGGGGAAGTCAATGTGAAATGGCAAGTAAAGGCTTACACTCAAAACTCGAACCAGATAAATTTAATCAATCCGCGCATTACAATAAAACCAGTCGCTTTTAATTCAAAAAACCTGTCAGCAATATAAAGTACCTGAAAATGAATTCTAATCAAATCAAAGTCACCTTTTCAAATAACATTACCTTAGTAATTACTGTCCCAAATATTACTGAAATGCAACAAATCATCGCCTCCCAGACCAATCCAAGTCCAAGTCCAAATATTAACTCACTAGTAAAAGGCCCCATCGAGCAAAGCTCTCTGCGTTTATTCATTCTGACTGTGGAAAACCAGTTTAAACTTGCACACCTACCAATTTCTTGTTATCATGAACTATTGACAGTCGCACTAGATGCTTTGAAGCATGCAAACCAAGAATTTCGTGACGCTTTTGATCGATTGGTTGTTGAGATCTCAGAAAAGAAAACTAAAAATTCGAGTTAGAAGTGTCAGTGACAAACCGCATGAATGTCAATGGGAAAAGATCTTCACGTACAGCGACATAGATAAATCCACGCGAAACAAAATCCATCTGTTGCACGTGATCACTTCTATTCACAGGAATGTTATAATGCATAATGCATCATATTACATGTACTTGAATGCTATTACCACTATGTATTTATCGTTATGTATTTAGATACATTGTATATGCTTATGGTGATGCTTTCAAGATTACAGTATTTTATACTATATAATGATAGTTAATTAACTGATCAGCTAATATCACTCCAAACAATATTCCTTATGTTATTTCTACACGTTTCAAATTTTTATAGAATTTTAAATCTACCCTTCTCGCAGGGATTGTTAAGACTAGTTCTCAGTAGCAATGCTTATATTAACGTGTCTTATGCAACGCGCTAATGAGCTTTTTCTGATAATTATAAACCTTTATTTAAATAATTTTAAGCTTCAATGTAATTCCAATTCTATACGAGTTTCTAAAACAAAACTCAATCTTTTATTACTTTATTAAAAATATTAATTTTGTAAAAATATAAACTTGAAATTTTTAGAAGACATTCATTTGCTTGCATTAAAATGCTCACTAGCGCTAGCGCTAGTGCTAGGGAACAAAGCTTGTTGATACTGTCTATTATCGTTATTTACCGGTACAGCATAAAACTGCTCATTAACGTTAACGTTAAAGAATGAAGTTTGTCGATACTGTCCATTATTTATCAGATCGCCATGAAATTGTTGAACCTGTTCATTATCTATTAGCGTTAGTTCGTCATAAGAATACTCATTCGAGTGCGAAGCTTGTTGAATGGAACAATTTAATTTTTTATATTCAATATTCGCCTCTTTTGAAAGTCGATAATATTCATCCTTAATTTCTTTTGCTTCGATTTTCCAAGTTTTCGAAGCGATAGCTGAAAGTCGTGGCATTTTAACTGTAAAACTTTGCGAATTTAGTTCTTTTAATATCTCTCCGCGATAAATCATAAAGGCATTTGGAATCTTGGTATGGTTTAACTTTTTTTGCGCATTTTGAATTAAATCCTCTATTGTGATTCGAGGCTTCTTTGGAGGATGGATTATTTGGATGGATGCATCTAATTCTTGGAATTTTGAGAATTTTCGTTTTGGCATTTTACATATATTCTTATAAAAAATCTCTTCTAATGAATCAAAAAAGATTTTAGGATTTTCACAGATATTTTTTTTATAAATAATTATTGCTGCGTATCAGGGATGACGGCGGAGAAGGAATTTCAACCGGATTACCGCCTGATTCTTTGTTTATTCTCTTTATATACCGTGTGGATGCGGGGTGTACTGTGCGATAATCAAATCCGGGTTTAGTACGATGACACAGACTGTCGAATTTTTCGTCAGAAAGCACGCAACATGTGTAACATTGGAAACAAAATGACTTATATTACCTTTTTCAAACATCTGACAACCCCAGCGTGAGACTGTGATGAAATTAGGGCAAAGTGGCTGGCGCAATGGTAGAGAAATTTCGCAAAAAATTGGCGTTCCATTTCGCTCTTGTGAACGTTACTCGGCTTCGCTTCGAAAAAATGTATAACTTCCGGATATTCGTCGTCAACCAAAAATTTCGCCTGAAATGCGCCGCAAAGTCATAAATTCAAATCATTCCTTACGGCGGCTGAATTCAAAGCGCGGCTTGAAGAAACACACCCAGGATTCGAAGTATGTGTGCAAACTGTCTGTGACGAGCTTCATAGGCTCGGTTATATTTGCTGCTTTGCCGAGACGCGTTCCTCTTCTCACCAAAGGAGATGATCTTTAGCAGTGTCAGCAGTATGCAAAATCACGTTCAAGCCTGCATTGACGTGGAAGGAGGGTATACCAAATATTAATGTTATATGTGAGCACATTGCCCTACTCGATTGCATTTCGAAAATAGTTTTTCTTTTTTGCGATTATTAATAAAAACAAAATTATTTTACTTTTGAAAAAATCTGACCACCATTACTTTCCGTGCGAACTGTACAATACAGTTTATCTATCGTTCGGTACGAATATATGTTTCAAGTTTCGTTTTGAAAATCATTTATATAAATAGATTAGTACATATATAATGAAGTCATGGAGAAACAATTCCATTTATAACTATATTAATATAGATCTGCTTTATTCATTTATGAATCATCTTAATAAAAGATTTTCAATCAGTCCCTCACGTCTAGTTCTATTTGAAAGTATATGCGCCATAAAGACTCCGTAAGCATTACGACTATTGAAATTTTCCTATATATATTATTATAATCCTAATTCTGTGCTTATTAATGATATAATAACATAATAACTAAGAGAAAATGAAAATTTGGTTTTTTCTAAGAAATAAACTTCTTTATGAATTGAATATCATCAAAATGTGATATTATGCTTGGAGCTTTACAATAATATGATGTTTGAGATGATAATTTAAAAGTGAAATTTGTTAGATAAAATTGTTATTAAGCGTGTGCGCAAAAACTTGAGAGATAAAGATTGCGTCACAACTTCAGTCACATTATTACTTTTGTTGTTGAGATTGAAGTAAAGTTTACGATGGAATAGTAGTGTCTTATGTTCAAATGCTAAATAAATATTTTGTTCAGATACGCGATAAGATATTATCGTGTATTAGTATTAGTGCCATAAATAACTCGTATCAAGTCAACCTTATACAGTTTTACCTCAATACAAGAACGTAAAGAAGAAATAGCTCCTGGTTATCAAGATAAATAATATTATATAAGCTAGCGATAATGTAATGAAAAAAATAATACGTTAAATTATCAAGATTACATGCACATCGAATGGAAATTTCTGTTGAAAATGAAAAAAAATTTCGTTTTTTATTCAAAAAAAAATATTATTGTGATTCCATCACCAAATTCAGAAATAATGTAGGATTGAAAGTGATTGTTTTTTAACTTAGGGTTTTCAAACTCCGTCATTGTGCTTTTTCTTATTTAAGTAGTATCTGGGTCAATTAAAATATACGTATATATATACAAAGTTCACACGATTATATACATGCTTGATTTCAAGTTACTCGATCCCTGATAGGATAAAAAGCACGAGAGTCAGCGTGCATACATAAATAACTACGTATGCTGAATTAAAATACTGAAATTCTCTTAATATGTCCACGTATAGTATCCAGACATTGTCAGACCAACTTTCCCACCAATTATTGCTATAGACGAACTCGTTCCTAATACTACACATAAAGGAGATGTTCCAAAAAGACTTCCAACACGTTTTTTATTTACCAAAAATCCTGTATCCAAAAAATGAATGTGGGTAAACTTTCTATTCCTATGTCAATAACTTCAACTATTATCGCAAAATTATGGGCTAAAGAGCCACAATCAGTGAAAAACGAATGTAAGAAATTAGCTAAAGAAGCAAAAGAAATTTATAATATTCGACATAGCTTAAAACATAAATTTGATTTGTCGACTTTTGGAATTATTCACGAGAACACCACAAATACTTCGAATATAACCATGCCTAATACTACAAATAATACTTTAAATATGACTTTATCTAATACTACGAATTTGGTTTTTGTTGAATTGCCTACTCCAAAACATTCAATGCTTGAGTACGACTACGACCACGCCGAAAGTGAACATGCCGAAAGTAATACCAACTTTAATTTAGATTATTCAGTTTTAATTAATGCTCATATCAGCTCTTCTAAAATCGATGGAGTGAATCAAAATGACTGTTTCTTCTAATTAAACAATCAAAACTCATTTCAATTCGCAAATAATAATTTCACAATCGATATTAACGTTAATGATTTTGATTTTCCTTTTTTTATGATTAATAAAATTAACATATATATTTTTCATATACCTCTTATGAGATGAATAAATAAAAAACTACAAATATTAGATTACTTTTACAAGTTAAACCTGTAAAAACCTCGAAATTTTTTATCCAGAAAATAGTCCGGAATTTCATAATGATTTGCTAAAAAAATTCTTTGAATTCCAGCGATTTTCTGGATAAAACTCCGGGCTTATACTTTAAAAAACAATATTCTTTAATAACTTTATTTTTTTACGAGAACTGATATGCCTGATACTGGACTTTTTATCAATTTATTTTTTTACGAGAACTGATATGCCTGATACTGGACCATCATCGGTGTCTAAGTGATCAAACTCCAAATGCACAAAATTTTTGATTACCAATCTCGGGGGAACACTATATAAAACAAGATACAGTGGCCCGCATAAATAACACACCACTTGCATTGCTAATAATCAATCACCTGATTTTCACTTACATGTAATCTGATAAATGCAAAATAGTAAATAAATAGACATATTATTATATCAGTTCGTCTATAATCCATGTCGATCCGCCAGAGTGGTGCCTTTTTTTTGCCGTTTTTATCAAGAATGTAAAAAATATGCTTTAACTTTTTTTTGAATATATAAAAAAAGTTTTATAATAAAAAAGATTCCTTAATATGTATTCTATTAGAATTAACTATTTTTTTAAAGATTTTAAAATATAATAACTAATAAAAAATATAAGAATACTTTACTTATTTATTATTTTTTGAGTATTTTACTATGTAAAGTTAATTTTTTATTAATATAATAATCTTCTATATAATAATTAAGCTTGATTATAATGTTAAATTCTATAAGATAATAAAAAATTTTAAAATATGAATAATTATTTTACAGATTTTAAAAGAAAAAAATAATTTTTTAAAATTTTTTGTAAATTATTAATAAAAAATTGGTCTATAATATTAAGTTTTAACATATAATTTTAATGATAAAATATTATTTTTCAGGTTTTATTCTAGTTTTTATAAAGATTTGAATATTGATTCATAAATTATAATAAAGCATATAAATTCTTTTTTTTTGAATTTATACAAATAATAAATTTAAATAATAAATTGCTAATAAAAACATGATTTTTCATTAAAAATACATTTTAATTTTTAAATATAGTTAAACATTGTTTATATATAATAATTTATTATTAATTTTAATCAATAAAAATAAAAACATGATTTTATTAGCAATTTATTATATAAATTTATTATTTATATAAATTCAAAAAAAAAGAATTTATATGCTTTATTATAATTTATGAATCAATATTCAAATCTTTATAAAAACTTGAAAATAACTAGAATAAAACCTGAAAAATAATAGCTTATCATTAAAATTATATGTTAAAACTTAATATTATAAACTAATTTTTTATTAATAATTTACAAAAAATTTTAAAAATTTATTTTTTTCTTTTAAAATCTGTAAAATGATTATTTATATTTTAAAATATAACAAAATTTATAGAATTTAACATTATAAACAAGTTTAATTATTATATAAAATTAAATCATAATTAATATTATACATGTTTTTGTATTTTCATATTTAGTAATTTCAGTATTAATATAACATCTTATTAATATGATCAACTAGTATTCCTATAAACTGAACTAAACTGAACTTTTGTCTAAATTCAAGTTCAATTCAAAATTTGAACTGAACTCAAACCAGACTTTGATTTGAGTTCAAGAAAGATTTGAAGTTCAAACTGAACTCAAACTAAATCATTATACAAGTTTGAGTCTGATTCAAGTTTGATTAAAAATTAGCATATAGTATTATATATTAATTTGTAACTCTAAATATAAGCTACAACTTTATTTATAAACACAATTTATAGTATTTAGTAAGAATTAAAAGTTTATATAGTAATAACTAAAGTATTTTTATTTTTACATTTATTAAATTTAATTATAAATACTATATAATTTTTCAAATAATTATATCAATTTGTAGCTCTTATTTTTAACTATAACTAAAAATGATCTTCTAAATTATTTTTAGAAAAAATAATATTTCAGCAAATAATTTAGTTTTGCTATGTTGCTTATATTAATGAATACTTAAATAATTTCAAAAACAATTTCAACTACTAATAAAATAATTTTGAATTTAATTTTAGCAAGTTAATTTTAGCAAATTATTTAATTAAATAATGTTGTCATGAGTTTCAGACTCAGATAGGTAATCTCGTAACATATGTGTTTAATCAATATCTATCTCTCAATAAATTAATAATTCAATCCAATTACTTTAGAATCATAATGCTGTGCAACTTTTTTTATTCTATTAATTTAGAATAGATAATACTATTACTAATAAATATCTCCTTTGTATTTACTTAGTGTGGTAATAGTTTTATAGTAATATAAGATTAATATTCTATAGCAATCTGGTTGAATGTCCAGTAATGTATAAAGTAAGTATTATAACAAGATTAATAATTATAAAATTAATTAATGTACAATTTCATTAAATAATAAACAAGAAGTAATTTATTGACTAGCTAAATTTTGTTTTGATTAATTGATACCTTTTTCAGAACTTCAATTATGCTTTATTTATAATAAATATTTTTCACTAGTAAATGTTACATTTATAACTAATTATATAAAAACTATAAAAATGATAATTTATAAAATTTGATTAATTAATATATATATAAAAACAATGAAAAATACAGAAATTATAATAATTATGAAAATTATAAAAATTATAAAAATTATAGAAATTATAGAAATTATAAAAATTATAGAAATTTCCAATTATAACAACGTTATAATCCTAAAACAATTGGATCAAATTATTAACTTATCAAAATAAATATTAGTTGAATATCCATATCTTGAGATTACTTACCTAAGTTTAGAACTCGTGACAACACATACAAATTTTGTACATTGAATGGAAAAGTATTAAAGAACTCTTATAATAGTGATCATTTAAAGTTATATGTTGAATTCAACAAATTAAAACCAGTTATAATAATCAATAATTAATTTGTAAAACAAATTTCTTAAAGTTAAGAGTCCTGTCACTGATTCAATATCATCAATAATTCAATATAAAAACATGTAAATAAAAAATGTAGTTATGATAAAAATTAGTTATGATGATATTTGAATTATATAGTTAATTTGATAATATTCTACTTCTTTCTATTTCTTTCTATTTTCTTCTTTTTCTTTTTTGTATCACTTATTTTTTTATATTTATTTTATTATTATCTTTATTTGGATATATTAATTACATCATTCTCTTGGCAAATTTATCATTATTCATATTAGTTTGTCTCTATTTTCTATTTTTGCTATTGATATTTAGATATAAAACAAAATTATTAATTATGATGTAGTTAAATTTCATGTAATTTAGAAGAAAATCAGTAATTTTATAATATTAACATAGATCTACTATGTCATGTATTGTGCTGCAACTGTGCTATACTGTGTATTATTGTATCACACTATGTCATTGTGATACAAATATATATATAAATACAAGTGTTGATAATTAATAAAAATCAAGTTTTCTAATTCCTATTTCAAGATTTAATTTAAGTTCTTAAGTTTTGATTTTAAAGTTTCTTTTAATTTAATGTTGAATTTGACATGTTAAATTAATTTTATTGTAAAATTAGAAGTAGTTTTTGATTAAGTTTTCTTTTAGTTTAGTTTTATTAATAGTTTAATTTTATTATCATCATCTTTTATCTTGTCAAAAAATATTATTTTATTGTCATAAATATCATTTAGTTATAAAATTCAAAGTAAATTGTTATAAATACAGTTACTATTATCATTTAAAATACTTTTATATACAAAAGCTCAAAACAATAATAGTATTGATATTCTATAGCAACTTGGTGATTGTCTAATAATGTACAATAAATATAAATATACTAATGTAATTATATATTGTTACCATATTTTATGAGTTCTTGGGAGAGCAAGTGAGTGCTTAATAACGTTATAATAAGTTACTTGACCAGGGTAATTATAGTAAAGTTTATTAAGAATAATGAGTGGAAGAGTATAATATAATCAAATCTATATAATGCATTAAGCATTAAACTATAATTATAAACAAATCTAAAGGGAGGTAACAGTATGTTCATGACGTGGTCAGCTAGAATGAGACCTGGGATTTTTAATAATAGTATTTAATTTAAAGGAATTTATATAATAAATATGTAATTTCATTATAAGATCATAATTTAATAATAATAAAGTATAATTTTATTATTAGGCGAATTTATC